AGCTTAAATGAGTTTACCGTGATGTAAGTAAGGAGAATGATAATTTACCTGTTCTAAGGGTTAGTATAGAACTTTTGGGCAAATATAGAACTTCTGTTTTCTTAAAACTGGTTCAGTTTAAAAAATTTGTAAAGTCGAAAATTAAGTGTTGCGAAGATAATTAAATTGTAAACAACGAAAGCTAAAAAAAAAAAAACATTTCTTTGAGGCAAAATTTAATTGCCTAAAGTTGAAGGTACATTTAAATGCTATTTTTTTCAGTGAAATCTGTTGTGACATATTTATAAGAATAGAATACAATTATTTGTCATACTACTTGAGCAAAAGGAAGGATTTAGAGAGTAAATTATCCTATCTGATCTGATCGTACCAATCCCTCAGGTGAAAGACTAATCATTTCGAGAAATTTAATTTATTTCAAAATTTGCTTAACTCAACGAATATTTTTTGATCTGTTCATTTTGTAGTTCTATCTAAGAAGAACAAATATTATATCTGTGATACTTCAATTATTTCCAGAAAAACCATATTACCCACGGGTAAAATGCTTCAACAATAAGAAACATTAATTAATTTTAGTTTTTTTTTTTTCAATAATTTTTTATTGGTAGGAAACACAATGATATTTGAATAGTTTGAATTTTTCTCTTTCTTTCTTAAATTGAACAATGTTGACAGCATCTCTTACTAAGTATTATTCCATATTCATTTAAAATTACTGAAGTTTCGTTTTCTTTTTTTTTTTTTTTTAAATCACCGAAATTTTGTTTTCTTCTTTTTAAAAAGTAAATTTGAATCAAATTCTAACATCAGAAAAACTCTCAATGAAATAGCTAAATTGGAAGAGCTTATGAATGATGCAATAAACCATAAGTATAATTTTTTTTTAAAAAATAAAAATTAAAAAAAAAAAAGAATTAGCAACTTCAGTCGGCAATAATTGATTGATTCATCGAATTTTATATTTACGAAGCTTCAAGCATTCATCGTTAATCAAATAATTCTTTTTGTAATTGTCAAAAATTTGAATTTAAATTTGTTAATTTGTTATGTGATTCCTTGCATAATTTCATATTGAAATTAAAATATTCCAATAATACATGGACAAATTTTCAATATAAATTAAATTTTAGCAGAATAATTGTTATTTTGCTTAATGCTCAGAATATTTTCATATTGGACAATAATTTTGAGAACTTTTACTTCTTACATTAGAATTTTTTTTTTTCTCAAACATCGCATATGTAAGCAATTTTAATTCTAATATGTTTTAATAGTATTTTCAAATTCACTGCTCCAACAACTATCGAAAACAAAAGCAATTAACTGAACAAATAGTTAAAATTTTTCGTAAACAATTAATTGGACTTAAATTTGTAAATTATCAGATAATTAGCTTAATTTTCAAGAACTGCCGACTAAAGAAATTAGTTCGGTTACGCAGGTCTTAGCCATCTTGAAACTTTGAAGTTAAATTTTTTTAAAATTAAATTAATTAATTTATGATATTTCAATATCAATTTCGAGCGAAAATTTGACTTTTATTCCTAAACTTAAAATTGACAATGTTCTTTTGTGTGCTAAGAAAATGAAATTGTATGCAAATTTTGATCTGATAATGTTTATCTGAAGAATTTACTTAAAATCGCAAATTTTGATCTGATAGTGTGTTTATCTGAAGAATTTACTTAAAATCGCAAATTTTGATCTGACAATGTTTATCTGAAGAATTTACTTAAAATCGCAAATTTTGATCTGACAATGTTTATCTGAAGAATTTACTTAAAATCGCAAATTTTGATCTGATAGTGTTTATCTGAAGAATTTACTTAAAATCGCAAATTTTGATCTGATAGTGTTTATCTGAAGAATTTACTTAAAATCGCAAATTTTGATCTGATAGTGTGTTTATCTGAAGAATTTACTTAAAATCGCAAATTTTGATCTGACAATGTTTATCTGAAGAATTTACTTAAAATCGCAAATTTTGATCTGACAATGTTTATCTGAAGAATTTACTTAAAATCGCAAATTTTGATCTGATAGTGTGTTTATCTGAAGAATTTACTTAAAATCGCAAATTTTGATCTGACAATGTTTATCTGAAGAATTTACTTAAAATCGCAAATTTTGATTTGACAATGTTTATCTGAAGAATTTACTTAAAATCGCAAATTTTGATCTGACAATGTTTATCTGAAGAATTTACTTAAAATCGCAAATTTTGATCTGATAGTGTGTTTATCTGAAGAATTTACTTAAAATCGCAAATTTTGATCTGATAGTGTGTTTATCTGAAGAATTTACTTAAAATCGCAAATTTTGATCTGATAGTGTTTATCTGAAGAATTTACTTAAAATCGCAAATTTTGTTTATCTGAAGAATTTACTTAAAATCGCAAATTTTAATCTGACAATGTTTATCTGAAAAATTTACTTAAAATCGCAAATTTTGATCTGATAGTGTTCATCTGAAGAATTTGCTTCAATAATTTCACACAATATTACTTCTTCTCTACGAGAATAAAATAGTGTAAAAAATAAAATTTGCATTTTTTTGATAAATAAATGAACGGTAAAATAAATGAATATATAATTTAAAAGAACGATAAAATGAATTTATATTTAATGATTAAATAATCTGTTATTTATTTTCCCAGCTTGCATTCATAATTTTGTTTGTATGATAAAATCATATTCAATCAATCTTTCGGATTAACTCTTCTAAATTTGAAATTATAAATTAAATGCTCGGTGTTCGGAATACAATCCATAATCCTTGAATTGATGTTTGATGTGAAACAAATAAATAGCAATGCGTCAGATTAGTAATTTCTAAATTTGAAAAAAATTGATGATAGTTTGCAGCAAGTAGTTTTTATTATAATTCTTTTTTTTTTTTTTTTGCTTCTGATTTAATAATTTTATATGTCAAATGGAAGTAAGAAAAATTTTGAAAAAAAAAAAAAATAACAATGAGTGATTTTTTTGAGAAATTTTGAGCTAAATAATCTTAAAGTTTTGATTTGAACAATTTTTTAGCTTTTAATTTTTGTTCAATTTTTTCAATTTTCTCTTTATTCAAAAAAACAATTCGAAAGTTTCTTGAGGTGAAAAATTTTTTATAATTTAATTTTACGTTATTACAACTGTATAATTTGAAAATTAAATCTCTAACGAGAATAAAAATGAAACTAATAAATTCAATTCCTTTTTTATTCATTTTCAATATTTCAATTGAAATATAACTTACTTCTTTTGAACGTTAAATTTTGCGTAAAATTATTCACACATTAATTCTTTTTTGTGTTCAGAGTAACGATCTTCAGCCATCATTATCGATTATCAATAATATTTGATTTAATATTTGATCTGATTCAATATTTGCATCAAATTACTCAAATATTTAGATCAATTAATGCTCAGAACATATAAATATAATTTACCTTGACTCTTTACCAGTTAATAACCAATTTCATTCATTTAAAGTATTATGATCAATTCCAGATAGATTAGAAATCACCACAAAGCTTTCCGTTATCATTTGATAAGAAATGATAAGACTGCTCGACCGTAAATTATTATTCTCAAGTGATAACTTTGCACATTAAAAATGATAATTTCGGTGTATTTCAGAGAAAAGATCAAAAAAAAAATGCTTCTTTAATCTAAAATAACAAAAAAAAAGGCATTAAAAAAAAATAAAATCCATAGAATCTGTTTGCATATTTTGAAAAGAAAAAAAGAAATCAAAAACAAAAATTATTAAAGAACTCATAAAAAAATCCAACAAACATCAATTTTCTATTATAAATTAATATTTATTTTGTTTAAGCTATTATGATCCGTTCCATTCAAATAAATAAATAAGTAAATAAACTTAGAAACAACTATAAAAAGTTGCTGTAGACGAAAATTTCTACAATGTATTTCAATTTTTAAATGTAATTTTAAATCTAAAAAAAAAAAAAAAAAAACTCAAATTGGTTGTTACAAAATTATTTTAGTGATAAATTAATTCATTTCTATTATGATAATATCTATTTGAATATGAGTTTTGTTCATATTTAAATGATTATTTCAAGCTTTTGATAATTTCATTGATATTTTAGAATGAAACAAACAATCATTGCCGTATTATTTCTGTTTTTGAATGCTCAATTTGTATTTTTATTTCGAGAAATGTATGTTAAAAAATTTTAAATTTCTAGACAATCAATACTTCTTTTCATTTTTTTTATTTTTGTTTTTTATTTTCTTTTTTTTTTTTTAAAATAAATTTTTTGTTTTTTTTGTGTTTTGCAGTTCTTCAACAGATTATGTGCATTTTAATTTTGCTGTTAATTTGATGAAAGAAATAGGACGAAATGGTGGAACAGAGATTATATCACCTGCTTCCGTATCAACTGCAATTTTTATGATTTACCTTGGAGCGGAGGGCAAAACTAAACAAGAATTGAGCAAAGTGTTTGGAAGAGGGAAATTTACTTTATTATTTTAGAAATTAATAAAATTTATTCCATAATATAAATTAATAATATATTTTACTTGTTGTTAACAATTGATAGATGTTTTAATTGATAAATTTCATTAATAAATAACAATGATATTTAATTAATTTTAATTTTTCAGAAGCAACGAAAGAAAATATTTGATCAATTTTAATTTTTCAGAAGCAATGGAAAAAAATAAATAATTTCAATATTTCAGAAGCAATGGAAAACATTACTTAATTAATTTTATTTTTTCAGTAAACAGTGAAAGAAAATATTTAAATAATTTCAATATTTTAGAAACAATGGAAAAAATATTTAAATTATTTTTAATTTTTTAGTAAACAATGGAGGAAAATATTTAATTGATTTTAATTTTTCAGAAAGAGCGGAAAAAAAGTAAATAATTTCAATATTTGAGAAACAGTGGAAAAAAATATTTAAATTAATTTTAATTTTTTAGTAAACAATGGAAGAAAATATTTAATTAATTTCAATCTTTCAGAAACAATTCGTAATTTATTGAAAAATCTCGGTGATAAAAAGAGTAACAATTATATATTGAATATAGCAAATCGTTTATATGTACGACAGGAATTTTCCATTAAGCCAAGCTTTCTTTATTTGCTTCAATTTTATTTCAGTGAAAGATTATACAAATTTAATGATGAACAAATTGGTCAACTTACTCAGGTATAATCAATGATTAATGATAAGGGATCAATTTTTAGAATTATTAATTTTAATTACTAATATTTTAAGAATTTAATTTGATAAATTAACTTATTGATTTAAAAATTTTGATAAATTAACTTATTGGTTTAAAAATTTTGATAAATTAACTTATTGATTTGAAAATTTTGATAAATTAACTTATTGACTTAAAAATTTTGATAAATTAACTTATTGACTTAAAAATTTTTTTTAATTTATTTGAACTGTGTGATTGCAAATGATAATAATATAATTTTTTTTTTTTTTTTTCTTTTTAGGAAATTAATAGTTGGGCTTCAAAGCATACAAACAATAGAATAACAAAACTTATGGTAACGGCAAAAATTAATTCAGAAACTAAAATGCTGCTACTGAATACAATTTATTTCAATGCTCTTTGGAAGAAGCAATTTTTTAGTGGAAAAACTTTGAAAAAAACATTTCATATTTCTCACAATAATCAGCATAGTGTAATTATTATTTCCTTTAATATTATAATTAAAATTTCTTTTTTTTTTAATTAATTGTTTATTTATTTATTTTTTAAATTAATTATCATATTAAATGAATTACTCTCATCCATCATTTTATTTTCTATTTTTTTAGGTACCAATGATGCTATTAGTAGAAGAATTATCATATTATGAAGATTTTTTTGTTCGAATTGTTAAACTTCCATTTATTAATAAAGAAATAGAAATGATAATTATACTTCCAAGAATTCGCTTCGATTTACAAAATGTTCGCAAAAAGATGACAGGAAAAAATTTAAATTATTACATCAAACATTCTGTACCAGCTAAAATTATGGTAAATTTGTAAAATTCTTTTTTTTTTTTAAAAAAAAAAAAACAAAATTAAATTAATATAAATTATTTTTGAAGAAAATTTAAAAAATGATTTGTTGTTCTAATAAGCAAATAATCCTTCATTCATTGTTTATCTTTTAGTCCGCTATGATTAATTTTAAATTATCAAAATGAGTGTTTATAAAGCAAACACTCTGGTAGAACTAGAATAAATTTAAATCAAATAATTTAAACTAAAAATGAATCTTTTTAATTGTTATAAATATATTTTACTTTATAATTAAAACTGCTCTATTTCAATTTTTGCAAAAATTAGTAAATAATTTTTTAGAATAAAATACAAATTAAATTTGTTTTCATTTTTACTTATTTATTTATTTTTTTTTTAAGTTAACATTACCAATGTTTGAATTGGAACAAGAAATAAACATGGAAGATATGTTAAGAAAACTTGGCATTGCGGATATTTTTAATGAAAATGCTAACTTCAAAGGAATTAGTGATGGTCCAATCTCTATTACCAATATTATACATAAAGCAACATTTCAGGTTTAACCATAAATATTATTTCTTTTTTTTAAAAAAAATAATTTAAAGTAATTTTTATTTTAATTAACTTTTTTAAAGTAATTTTAAAAATCAAAGAGATAGTTATTTTACTATCTATATATTTTTGCTTTTACCATTAAAATTTTACAGATGAACGAAAAAAGAAAATTTTTTTAAAAGACAATTTAAAGTATTTTTTATTTTAATTAGCTTTTCAAAAAATATAGCTATTTTACAATTTTTTCATTTTTGCTTTTACCATTAAAATTTTACAGATGAACGAAAAAAGAAAATTTTTTTAAAAGACAATTTAAAGTAATTTTTATTTTAATTACCTTTTTTTTAAAGTAATTTTAAAAATCAAAGAGATAGTTATTTTACTATCTATATATTTTTGCTTTTACCATTAAAATTTTACAGATGAATGAAAAAGGAGTGGAAACTGATGCAATATCTGAATTTAAATCCACTGATATTACATGTGAAAATTGTATAACATTCACTGCTGATCAACCATTTTTATTTTTTATTGTTCAACGCTCAGAAACTATTTTGTTAACTGGACAATGTGGCCGAAATTGTTTTTTTTAGAATATTAAATATTATTTTTTTTTTGCTTAGAAATTTTGCTTATATTATTGGGTTAATAATTCTTCGCATTGTTCTATTTTATTTTATGTTTTTCTTTTTACATTTGATAAATAATCAGTAAAGATATATTTGATTTTCAATATCATTTCAAATTTGCTCTCATATATCTAAACAAAGTTTTATAATGATTATTAGTAAAGTGAGAAAGTGAAGACAAGCAAAAAGGAGTAATTGTTTATGTTGTTTATTTGAATTTTAAAAATTCATAAATTCAAAAAATCAAAATATTTAAAAGTTTAATGAGATTAATTGCATATTTTAGAAGTATTCCGTTACATCTGAAATTTTAAAAAAAAAAAAAAACTGAGCAATTAGAAGACAATAATTTTTAACCTATCGAAATCATAGCTATTGGTAGAGGGTATTTTTTTTTTTTGGAAAATTTCACGACTACTTGTTAATTTCTTTTGAACGATATTTTGTATAAGTTAAATAAATAAATTCAATAAATATTTCGATTGCTTATTTGATTGTTTTAAAAAGTAGAAAAAAATTTTTTTCTCATTCATCAAATATTCCTTTTTTTTTATTCCATCGTTAAACACAAATGAGATTTCAAAGATTTAAATTTTCAAAAATGAATTTTCATAGTTTTTAATATGGAAATTTCAAAAATTTGGATATGAAAGAAGAGTATGTAAATTTGACTATAATGCATCAATTAATTTTTGATCTAAGAATTGTAAACAATTTTTGCTAAAGTGAAATTTATCATAAGGATGGTCAAGCATAGGATCAAAAAAAAAAAAAAATGTCGAACATGAATTGCACATAAAAGTAAATAAAAATATAAATTCAGATTCAATTATTTTGTTTTTCGTGTTTTTATGATTGCATGCTAGGCATGCGCGAATGCAAACTGCACTGAATGCAAATTGCGCGAATGCAAGTTGCTTCTCAATGTGAAATCATGCAAGAATGTCAATTCATTTCAGATAATTATTGTGATTACAAATATACCATTAATGCATATTTACTTGTGTTTATTTTGAATGCTAGCATTATATAAGTGATGTTAAGCAATCATTTCTGTTTTAAGTTTTAATTGCTCCGAAAATTTTATTAATAGTAAAATGAAAATTCCACTGAAGATCAATGATCATATTGGACTTATCAATTTTATTTAAATTCAAGTCGATTCAAATCAGTAATCTGGATGCTATCTTAATGTGACTGTCATTAGATTCTGATTGGATCAAATAGAAACGACGAATGTTTTATTTTATTACGACGATTTTTTTTACGACCTGCTATGCTATCTGACGTTTTCAACGGATTGACGTAGACTTTTTTAGGTGTATTCATAAGGTGTCATGCTATTTAACGCTTTCAACGGATTGACGTAGACTTTTTTAGGTATTCTCATAAGATAAAACGAAAATGCGTAATATCAAATGGTTGAATTTTTTCAATAATTAATATTTCTAACTAATATTTTTTAAATTTAATATATGTTTTGTTTGCATAATGCTATGTATGATGTAAATAACAAATGCGCTCATTTTAGAATTTAATTGAAACAAAATACTGGGAGAAATTCAGAAACTCGAACTATAATATGTTAAATAAATTTAAAATGTTTATTTATGTAAGCAAGTTTATTAAAATAATAAATAAACAATGAAGCCTGATTTAATGAGTGACAGCCAAGCGCAATAATCCATATTCGATTTTGTCATAATCATCATGAAAAAATAAAATGATTCAACATGTGTTACTGAAAGGAAATAATAAATACCATTTTTAAATTTGCGATACGGTTTTATAATTTTTTGAACTTTTGAAATGGTTAGCTTTAGATTTACTAATTAAAATTTTTTAATGAAATGAAATAGTTTAACGCTTTAATCGAATTATAAAACGCTGTAAAAAATTCTAAATTCTCTTAAGAGCTACTGTCATTGATATGCAAAACTGGCGAAGAATTAAAAATCTTATGAATTCTCCTTTCTTCTGGAAAATCAAATTCTTTTGGCTTTTCTTAATCAAAAATAAAAAATGCAAAATTGATAACAGAGATATAAAAAAACAGATTTTTATTTCCAAAATCTTTTTTAACTTGCTATAAAAGGAGCAGTGATCGCTTGTTGAAACAAAGATAATTACAGTTATAAAAACAGCTAAAATCCTACTTAAAAATTCAACAATAAATATACCACCCATTCCCGAATTATCTTCTTTTCATCAAAAAAAAAAACTAAATCGGGAAAGTCTGAATTTAAATGAATTTATTTGAAAAGATAATTTTGTCGAAGTTATCAGTTGTCACTATTAGATATTGCAAACATTACAACAACACCAAAAAATATTATAATATATTCTATAAACCAACTTTTCCTAATATTATTAAATGAATGAGTCCTGTAAATTAATTCAACAGTTATTTTTAAATCAAATAAGAATCAAAAATTTGGATAATAACTCCAACAATAATTGCAATGACGCTGCATGGATGAATTTAGATGAAATATATTTACCATTTTTTTTTTTTTTTCAAAATTTAGATGAAATATAATTATTCAATAATTTTCTCTAATTCATATCAGGAACATTTCAACCAATATATTCTACTTTTTTTTTTCTTTTTTTTGCAACAGTAAATAAATAATTCAATTCATCTATAAACATTACCATTAAAAAATATACCGAAAACTAAATCTACAAAATGGTTGAATAATTCAGCTGGAATTGAGTATGACAAAAATTCAGGAACAATAGAAAATTCATAGGTTGGAGCGAGAATCAATTGGATAATACTATATCAAAGTTATTTTACTGTTTTTCAAGAAAAAAAGCGGATGAAAAAGGATTTGTTTAAAATGTATTCCTTAATTATTATTTATTAAACCTTTTTTTCATCTTTTGATTTCTTAAAATTCAATTAAATTTAATAAATGCCAAGTATTGTTGGCCAAATCAGATTTGTTAATTGTCATGCATACAATAATATATTTTTTTTTATTATTTGTAAAATAATATGGCTGGGACAATGATTCAAATCATGAGCTATCATTATTAGCCAATTGATCGATGTTTATGGCCTGAAGCATTTGAATTTACAAGAATTGCTATTCTTAAATGAACTGAACTCTGCTTCACTGCAATATTCATAAATTAGGCGAAAAATTTTTACAATTAATAGATTTACGTCAAATAAAATGAAAATTACATGTCAAACTCTCACTCCCACTAAATGGCTTAGCATATTGGCTATTTCTAGTAGCCTAGGCTTTTAAACTTTTTTAATCAACAAATATGCTATTCCTGAAACACTTGGTTTACAAAAACTGTTAACTGAAGAACGGAGCATACTGTAGAACGAAGCATACTGTAGGATAAATGAAATGTGTTACAGTTTTTACAGTATTTCTGTAACGATAACACCGCAAGGCTAAGTTGTCTTGGCCAATGCAATTATTTGGCTGGATTTGTTCAGATTTTCATCTTTTGCAAGAAGCTAATCGAAAAATTAGAAAAGTTTGACAGCATAACTTATGAAAGGTAAAATCTATCATTGTGTGAGCTAATGGTAATTTTTATTAATTTTGAAAATATATTCAGTGCTGGCCTTGGTTATTGCAAACGAGTAGTTTTGACACCGAACAGGAATGATTGTAATAAAAATGACAAAGCAATGCTCTTCTTCTGTTGACATTTTGGAAAATGCGATTGTTTTGATAAGGAATAATAGACCATTGAAGATTAACGATCAAGAATGTTTGTTTTGTTGGATATTAATTTTGAGAAGAATTATGTATCAGAAATGCTCTCCCAGTTACCGTATCGAAATGTGAAAACAAGCGTTTTTATTATTTGCACAGGTTGAATGATATGATAAAAATATATGAAAATGTTTTTATTAAAAAAGTGTTTTTGTATTTGAGAGCGAAAGATCAGCTAAAGAGGCTTAACAGCAGACAAATGTCAATGTTTGACCTAAAATCAACGATATAAATATCCCACAGCAATGGTGGCATTCTACTGATATCGACACCGATCACGTTTGTTCGACACCGATCACGTTTGTTCGTGCTGTTACGATCCAGATTAAGTGGTTTATTCACAAGTAGACTTAGACTTTAGAATCATTAATTCTAAATAATTTGTCACTCACTCACAGTGATATCTGCGAATATTAGAAATGTATCGTATTCGAATGATAATTTTAGTACCTTTGAAAGCGCTCATTGATATTTCAGAATGAAAAATCAAACAATTACCGCCATATTTGTTCTAGTTGCAAGCGCTCAATTCGTCTTTATACTTGGACAAATGTATGCAAAGAAGAAAGAAACTAATATTTTAGAAAAAATCAAATAGCCTTAGATAACGCTCTATTATCAATGTTTGACCATCGTAGTGATAATTTTTTTTGGTAGATCGTCAAACTTAGCTTTTTTAACTTTCTTCATTAATGGACTTTTCAGTTCGTTAACGGAACGTGCGCAGTTAGACTTTGCGGTAAGTTTACTGCAAAACGTTGCGGAAAGCGACAAATCATCCGTTCTCTCACCATTTTCGGTTTCAACTTCACTTTTTATTGCTTACCTTGCAGCGGACGGTGAAACGAAGCAGCAACTGCAGAGTGTCCTTGGAAAAGGTAATTATAACTTGAAATGTGCAAATTCGAAAATTTTACTTTTTTGTCTAGACAACCACTGAGAATACTATTCCGCCATGACATTTTACCTGTCGTCAAAGCCAAGCCAAGAATGTTATCAGTAAAGAAATGATAAAATAATTTCAGATGCTAGCATATCAGAATTCCGACTTCATTTTGCTAAACAACTGGCTTATATCGCAAGGGCAGGAAGCAGAAATTACACGTTAACTGTAGCAAATCGTCTTTACGTACGAGAGGGACTCAGTGTAAAAGAGAGTTTCCAAAGAGTGCTCAGTTTCTATTACAGCGACTTATTGCATAAATTTAGTTTTGGACAAAGAAATAGACTTGTTCAGGTATAATCTATGATAAAAAGCAAAGGTTCAGGTGAAATAAAGAGAGAAAGGTGAAGAGAAAAGGGATCAAATCGTTATTTTACTTTTTTAAATTTATCATTTAATAAAATTTCATTCAATTTATCATTTAGTAAAATTACTTTTCAGCAAATCAATAATTGGATTTCGAGTAAGACAAACAATAAAGTTAGAAATATTATAACAACGCGTAGTATCACCGAAGATACCAGAATGTTACTTATGAATGCAATTCATTTCAAAGGCACCTGGACAGTACAATTCATTGATTTTGCAACTAAACAAAAGCAATTTCACATTTCTGAAAATGAAGTGAAACTGGTAATTATGAATGCATAATTAGATTAATTGTTTTAAAATGATGGCACACTGAATAAGTTCATTTCTTGTCGGTTCAGGTACCAATGATGTCAAAATCGGATACAGTTCCGTATTACGAAGATGATGCTGTGAAAGTTATCAAATTACCTTACATTGGTGATGAAGTAGAGATGGTTATCATATTGCCAAGAAGACGTTTCGGCTTATCCGATGTACTGGAAAATTTGTCAGGCGAAAAGCTACTTAAATACGTCAATGAAGCAACGAACCGAAGTGTTTCCGTAAGTCACCTGTCCATTTCTAATTAAAGATTTTTTTTTTTGAAAGGTAGAAAAGAGAAACAAAATTTTGAAAGGTAAAAAGAGAAATTTGAGCGGAATGATTCTGTTACCATTTCTGTTTCGTACCGAATTGATGTTTTTTCCCTTTCTAAATTATCATGGAAGAGAGAATTTAGTCGATGTAACTTTAAAGTTATTTTTAATTTTAGATTAAATTGCCAAGATTCAAAGTGGAAGAAAAACGAAATTTGAATAGTGCTCTGCAGGCAATTGGCATCACAGATGCTTTCAGCGGAAATGCTAATTTCGAAGAACTTTTTAATAACTCACTTCCAATTTCTATTGGCAAAATTATTCATGCAGGTTTCATTGAGGTTTGTGTAAACTTTCTTTGCTTCATTATTGGAAATTTATTAATGACTTAATTAATTACTTACAGGTAAATGAGAAAGGGACAGAATCAGCTGCTGCAACAATAATTGAATTAGAGGATCGCATGGGTTCATCGAGAAATTTCAACGCTGATCAACCATTCCTCTTTGCAATTGTTAAAGACTTAAAGACAGTTTTGTTCCTAGGACAATATGTCAAATAGTCGAATGATCCTTTGTACTTTTCGTCATTTTTGTTGCTATGCATATGCATATGATAAATTTTTAGGCATATTCAGTGTTATATTTAAGTCTCACATTCACATCGTCAATATTGGTTGTCACTTTGAATTCTTTATACATACGTAAGCTAAGGTAAAGGTAAACTTAAGTAAGCTTCGATCATTTTGCAAATACGTAAGTTTGACGGAATCTATCAGACAATAGTTCAAAATTCTTTTCACGTCATTTTTTTTTAACAGTAGAAAATGTGCATAATTAATTGAGGTTGCTGAAAAAATTCAGTTATTGTCAACTTATTCAATCCGGAATACTGTTACCGTGACTGTGACAACCCAATGTTGACAAGATTCTAGACTACGTGTCTTATCAACATTATCATTCGGTCACTTCACGACTAACTGTTGACGATCACTTCCTCATATGAGAAATTTGTGGTTCTAAACACCTAAAAGGAGCCATTTGGATTCCTCTGGAACATATGAATTCAAATTCTTGCATAATCACTGATTAAAAATATGAGATCAATCGATAATGCCATATGCTAACATTGAGTGAAGCCAAAAAATTGAAATACTTAGATTATCATGTTAAAGTAATCGTAATAATTTTGTATTAAATCCATAAGATAGAAATTTGTAGACTAATTTGTAGACCAAAGATTTTCTTTTCTTATATAAATATTCATTCCATGGGCAAATAAAAAACTATTTTAGTTTCATAGCTTAGTTGAATGAAATTATTTATCCAACATACATCTTCCAATTCTTGCTTAATATTTTTTAAATAAATTGCTTCCAATTTTATTATCTAAAAACCAAACTTAAATTTAACGGTTAAAATGTTTGTAAGTCTTTTGTTCAATTAATTCGCATTGTTATAAGTCAAATTATAATTACAATATCAAAATATTGTTGAGATCGTCCATTTTGCAGTTATTACCACAAATAATTGATCCAACACTATAAAGCAATTCTCTGTATCAATCAAAAGTGAAATCATTTCTTTTTTAATTTTATTTTTTTTTCAAATTACTATAATTATGCGCTTTGTTTGTAGGCCAACGCCGACTATATAAAAAATTAAAATCATTGTTTGCGGTTAATTTTTTCGATGCAGCAAAATTCGATTTTCGGATTGTCGCAGCGTCACTCAGTTCATTTTCAACAAACGATGGCATAGCAACAGCAATGGCAATAATGGAAGGAAAGAATGACAATTAGAAAGCAAAAAGTGCGACAATTGCGCCCAGTAGGCTGTTTGGTTTAATTTAATATTTAATTTGTTCGTTCAATTCGTTGCTATTAAGCGTAATATTGTATGATATCATGCAACAACAGTAAAGCTATTATTGAACATTGACAACAACAAAAAAATGCTAATAAATCTTCCTTCACAATTTAGTTATTACTTGTAATTGAATAGCTATTTGATTTCCAATTATCAATGATTTTCAAGTTTTATCAATAATAATTTATGACTAGAGATATTTTAACTATATCTTATTCATTGAATTATTTTTAATTCATTTAAATAAAATTCGTACACTCATTTTATTAGACATTTTAACCTTCTTCATGTTTTATGCTTTATTACAAATTTCTACTTTTGCTTCAAAACCTTTTTTAATTTTAATTTATCGAAACTGATCTATTTTAAATAAAAAATCTATTTAAACATCTATTTAAACTATTTAAACAATGCTAACCTATTTTGATAATCCTTCCAAATTTGTTTACGTTTCCATTCTTATTCCTATTTATCCATTAATCTGTCTACATATGTTGACACTTCTTGTACTCACATGTCTCTCTTCACGTGTTGACGTTCTGTTCACGTTGGCATAAATTACAAACTCTTATTTACGCTTAACAATGATCAGTGGCTTCTATGTTTTTAATATCAAAGACATTTGCTCTCATCTCTTTTACGTCTTTTTAAGTATTTATAAAGTTTAGAATCGTTCAGATAACACTTAATTTCCTCAATTTTTTTTTTAAGCGTATTATGCTGTCAATTTAAAATATTACTTTTAAATTTGTTATTTTTAAACTTTTAAATATTCACAATTCTAAATATTTTTGGGCATACATTTCAGTTCTTTCTTTTCGCAAAATTTATTTTTCATTTTGATACATTTTTGAGCATATAAATCATTTAATATTGGCTATAAAAAAATATGAAAAAAATATACAAAAATGTTGGAAAAAAATTTATACACAAACCAAATTAGCAGAAATTAAGGAGAAATCAATTGTTCAATATTTTTAATACTGAATTTTAAATTTTAAATGAACTCTGAGTTATTTACAAAATTTAATTTTCTTTCTCTTAACAATTTGTCATACTGATCAAAATTCATTCATCATTTTGTTGTCAACTTATTCCTGTGTCGTTGAACATTTTCAGATTGTTGTTGAAATTGAAATGCTTTCAAATATGCAAATTTTGCCTTCTCAAATTTATTCCAACGATGATAAAGTGTACCTTAAATAATTCTATGTTACTGCAGAATGTAAAAAAAAAAAGTGAAAAACTCTACATAAGATAGTAAAAAAAAAAGCAAAAAAACCATATTTTTATATGATAAAATATAAAAAAGTAAATAAAAAAAAATAAGCAAAGTATTTTTATAAAAAGTAAATAAAAAAAAGTGAAAAAGTAAGAAAAAAATAAAATAAAAAGCAAATTTTTCTTTTTTTCTTTTCAAAAATATCAAAACTCTCTCATAACAATCAATAATTAGCATAACTCAGATATTATACTAACTATTAAATTGTCATTTTCATCAGCAAAAGCCAGACTCCAACCAGCCGGATTCGAACCAGCGACCTAAGGATTACTGTGATGTCACACGCTACAGTCCTCCGCTCTACCAACTGAGCTATGGTTGGTCTTCCTCCAAGACAGAAACTTTTGTTTACAAATAATTAGCAAATAATTTACCGATATTTTTCCAATAAGTTATTGCTGTTGGTTCTAATTCTACAGCTGATAGTAGGAACTTTTCGGCACTGTCATACTGTCCAAGTTTACCATAACAAGTGCCTAGCTGAGAAAGGATTGATGCATCCTTGCTATGATATTTAAGCACCTTATCAGCTAGGCTAATTACTTCCGCACAATTATTTGTCTCATCAAGTAATACCAACAAATTCAACCAGGCTTGTTTGTGACTAGGATTTGCTCTAAAACAAAATAATTCAAATTATGGTACTAATTAAAATATAATAATATCTTAAAATACATTAGGCATATCGAAATTTAAATTTGCATATACGATGAACATACAAAATGAACTATAAGCGTAATTTTAATTTTGATTAAAAATTTAATAAAAAAAGAAAGAAAGAAAAGAAAAAAATATAAACGAATATACTAAGGTATGCAGAGTTACGAATAGTGCCTTTTAATTTTAGACTTATATAAAAAATTTGAAACTAAAATGCTATTTGATTATTTGAAAATATAAATTTCCATTTTCTCGTCTTTAGGAAAATTCAATTACTTATTATTTTTCTTGCTAAAAAAAAAGTGACATTCCTCTCGAGAATGCTACTTTTTATTCTATCACCTGGTAATATTTTGCCAAATTTCCCTTGCATAGGTTTTTTGATTTTGTTGCAAATAAAGTAAGCCCATGTTGTATAAACAATCCGGATACGGAAAACGTAAACTGAGTGCTTGTTCGAAACTATTTTCCGCATCCTGAATGTAATTATAAAAAATTTCCTCTAATTATTTTGCTAATAAAATTGTAAAAAATTTTTTAGATGGTATTATTTAATAATCCAACTATATTGCTGTGAAAAAAGTATCTTTCATTTTCATTTTTCCTTTCCTAAATCAAAGTCTTATCACTAATTAAAATTTTTTTTATTAATTTCAGAAAAAATTTATGCCATATTAACTATTATTTATTAATATGAGCCCAAATTTAGGTATGAAAAATGAAATGACTAACTTTATATCGTTTCTGGGCCAATTGCGCAAGTCCAAGATTCATCCATGCAGCTGCAAAATTTGGCCTTATTTTGATGGCTTTACGAAGGAGTTGTTCAGCTTCCAAATTTCGATCATATTTAAGATAAATGTTTGCTAAATTATTCATTGCATTTTCGTAGGTGGGATTTAACCTAAAACTAGACTGTAATTAAAATTATTTTGATTAACAAGAACAAAGCTTAATGAGAAAAAAGAAGTTAGGCATGAGAAAAAACAAAATTTTAAAAAAGAAAAGAAGATACTTTAGCAAATCACATATGATAGTGATATTTACTCAAACAATAACAGTGCAAACAATGCAATTGTTATTGTTTAAGCAAATTAATTTGACATAAACATGCAAGTATAAATAGCATAATTACAATACAAAACCGCAGCATTAAAAAAAAAAAGCCATTTGCTATTTGTAAAAAAAAATATAAAAGATTATACAAGAAAAAAATTTTTTAATTTTTTTAAAATTTTCAAGAAAAAATTTTTAACTTTAAAAATTGGAAAAAAAAATAATTTTTAAAGATTAATTTTAATTAATTTTAGCCTATCATTTTCAAATGTTTAATTTCAATCTAAAATTTTCATTAGCATATTCATTTCTCGATTAATTAATAATAACTGTAATTTGTCATTGCCATTATTATAACTTTCAGCATTTACTAATTATAAGATATACCTTATTGCATTTGCATAATTAACAGTTGCACGACTGATATCACCGTTATCAGCCATAATTTTTGCTATATTATAATGAATTTTTGCATTATTTGGACAAACTTTTAAGCCACTTTTGTATAAATCTAATTCATTTCTCCATTCCAAACTACGCTGAAAACTTTTTTTATTTTTTTCATTGACAGTAAAAACTTATATAAAAGTATAAATTTGACTAGAAATCATCTAACATTTGTTAAATGATTTCCAAAAATACATTATGCATAGTGGCTGAAATGAAAATTGAATTATAAGTGATACTAATTAGAAGAAAATAATACTTATCATTGTATATTATTTATTTTTTCAACATCTTTCAAAAAAATGTTATGTTATTACTCGAATTGTTATTACTGTTGTTATCATTAATGCTGTTTATTTATTTATAGAATCATTATTATTATTATTATTATTATTATTATTATTATTTATTATAATTATTATTATTATTACCGTCGTGTTATTTATTTATTTATTTATAGAATTATTATTGTTGTTATTATTATTATTATTATTATTATTATTATTATTATTATTATTATTATTACTGTCGTGTTATTTATTTATTTATTTATAGAATTATTATTGTTATTATTATTATTATTATTATTATTATTATTATTATTATTATTATTATTATTATTATTATTATATTATTGGTCGTGTTATTTATTTATTTATAGAATTATTATTATTGTTATTATTACTATCATATTATTTATTTATAAAATTATTATTATTATTATTACCGCATTATTTATCTAAAGATTTATTATTACTACCGTATTATTTATTTATTTTAGAATTATTATTACTATTGCTATCATTACTGCCGTATTATTTATTTATTTGTAGAAATATTATTACTATTGTTATTATTACTACCATATTATTTATTTATTTATTATTGCTACTATTATTATTGATTATTATTGTTAATTATTATTTTTAATCGTTATTATCTTACCTTGTATGATTTGATAAAAAACATAATAAAAATTATTGTTGTGACACTTTTTAGGATATTTGCGCTTTTATTTCTTATCATAACTTCTTCCGTTTTTTCATATGCGCAAACGGTAATTAAGCAAAAGGCAACTGATGGCAAATAAAGCACTCTTTCAGCAAGCACAAATCCAACGGTAACAAAAATATTGCTAGCAGGTAGAAATGTTATAATATAAAAAACGATTGAAAATATTCGAAGTCTGAAAAATAAATTCAAAAATTAAACTTTTTAATCAAATTTATAATCATCTTTATAATCTCAAAAATAAATTAATATTTATTAGAATTTCTTTAAAAAAATTTAATTCTCATATCATAATTTATTGAAATGCATACATATTTATTATGAAAGTAGGAAAGGAATATTTTTTTTTAAATAATATCATTATATTTTGACCAAAAAAAAAAAATTAACACTTAAACTATACGTTAAATTAGATGAAAAGTTAATCAAAGTGTAAAATTTAATGGAAAAAATTATATTTCATACAATTTAAAGTTTTATAATCAATAAAACTCTTTTTGACAATAGCAATAGAAATTGAGAATTTTAAGCATTTTATTGAATTAGTCATATTTTAATTACAGTTATAATTTGATTGAAAAAAAAAAAAATGAAATTTATACTGCTTCTCAAAATATCCTCGAATTAATTGAATGATAAATATGATAACACCAATGATAAATATTGTTGAAATCAAAAAACGATGATCATTGATAGATTCAATCAGTGTCACACAGCCCATCGAATAATCAAAACATAAATGAAATGGATAAAGTTGTAACCAAATGTAAAGCATATAAATGTAGCAATAATTAATCAACTGAAATAAAATTGAACTGTTTTTTTTCATAATTAATGTACGAGATAATTAAATAAACTAATAAATGATTTAATTAATTAAGCAAAAAAATAAATTAGCAAATAATCAATTAATTAATTAATTAAACGAGCGAATTAAATAAATTGATTAATTAGTTATTTTTTTAGAGCACAAATTAAAAATGTGTCGAAAATTTAAAATGGAAACGAGATTTAAATTCATTTAATTAAATTAAACAAATAAATAGCTAAAATAAGCAATGTTTATAAAAAAAGAATTTTTTTCTTTTTTGCAATAAATCTACAATTTACAATTATACAATTAAATCTACAATTAAGTCTCAATTATCAAAATTGCTTTTCTACTCTAAAATTTGGTCCATTTAAAAAATTTTTGACAAATTCATTAACTTTTCTTATTTCTTATTTTTTAATCAAAACGATCGCATTGGTCATGGAATTATCTTTAAATAAAATGATTAAAATAATGAAAAAAAATCGATGATTAAACGAACTCGTAAAAACACAGATGGACAACTAGCGATCAAATTATCATTTGGACTAAATTGAGGAGATTGAAATCCATTAATTGAAAATCGAAACAGCAATAAAGCAATGCATATCATTGAACATATCATCACCCGACGTATGCAATCACAATATTGTTGCTATAATATAAAATTTTAAAATTTAAAAAAAAAAAAAAAAATTGCAAAAAAAAGAAAATTTGATAATTTTGATAGAAATTTAAAATTTCTCTTTTGAGTTGAAATTTTTCGGTGTTAATTAGGCGCATAATTGCTAGCATATTAAAATTTCGATTAAAATTAGATTAGAATGGAATATCGAAAGTATTTGGTTTCGTTTGGTTTAAATGTTATTATTTAATTAAGCCAATAATTAACCTTTCTAATAATTAATTTCCCAATTATTTTTTTCCAAGAAAGATTCAAAATTTGTTTTTCGAACTTATGCAAAAACAAAACAAAAAAAAAAAAAAAAAAAGGAAATTGTTAGTAACTTTTTTGTTTACCTCAAAATTGTTTACTTTTTAGCTTATCCACAAAAAGAAAACATACAAAAAAAGAGCTCTTTTATTTGAAAATATTCGCTAAATTTAAAATTTTCAAACGGATAAAAAAATTTGAGCAAATATGAAAAATTCAAATATCATACAAATAATGTTAATTAAATCATATATTTGCATGAAAGTTATCAAATATGATTTCCATCGAGAAAAATATCGGAAAACAATGAAAAATAATTAAGAAACAAATACATCGATAGAAATAAGGAAAGTTTTATCACACAAATTGTTTATTTAATTACTTCTTCTGTAATAGTAATATTTTTTATTAGAATTTTACTGCAATACTATTTAAGACTGAAATGTAATATATTTAAAAGATGAAATAATTAGTTTACAAAAAATTCATGTAAATATGTTAAAAATATTATAAACAGAAAGGTCATAGGTCAACTCAAGTGCTTTCATATTAATTAGTTATTATGCAATTAATGCAAAAAAAAAAAAAAAACATACAATTATATGTGCTGTACTCTTATCAATTTCATTATTACTTCCATCACTATTCATTCGTTTTCTAAATGCAATAAAGAATCGAATTGGTGAAATATTTGATGCGCAAATGTCAAATGTTGCACAAAGTGGCTGTAAAAAGTAATTTTTAATAAATGAAATTTAATTTAATTTTTGAATAATATCAAAAAAAAAAGAAAAAAAAAACGATTAATTAATAATTAAAAAATAAAATTTTATAACTGATGTAAACAAACCATAACAACAATTCCTTGTTCCTTACTAAACAATGCGATTGCGCTGAGTGATACAATCGTAAATTTTGATTTCATTGAAAATTCTGATTTACACCAACATTTGATGTATAAATGTAATGCAGTAAGTGTAAATAATGTCATTAATAATTCAGATCGACCTACTATACTTGCTACCTGCAAGAAATTTTTTTATTCTTTAATAAATTTTTTTAAAAAAAAAACGAAAACAAAAAATTTACTAATTTGCTTTTTTAACTTCCAAAAAATTATAATATGTTTTTTTTTTTTTCATTTTCACTTATTTTACGAAGAATTTGATTGTAAATTAAATCAAAGTAATATAAATGACAAAAATTCCTAAAATAACTATTACTAATAATATTTGAAAAAAAAAGAACGAAGTACATTTATTTGAATGAAATTTTTGATGCCATAAAATAATGAAAAAAAAAAAAAAGTTTACAGAATTTGAAACTTATAAATTGAACATTTCCAGTCTTATTCAATCGATTTTATTTTTTTTACTTAAAATTAAAAAAACTATTCCAAATGTTATATCTTTTAATATTAATAAATTTAGGAAGAAAAATGAAAGAAATAAGAGGAAAACAAAAAAAAAAAAAAAAAAACAAATATCTTTTCATTTAAATTAAAAAAACTATACCAAATACTACATCTTTCAATAATGTTAATAAATTTAGAAAGAAAAATGAAAGGAAAGAAATATCTTTTATCAATTAATAATAACTTACTGCTTCAGAATGTATTGGATGGATTGCAAATAACAATGAAACATGAAAAGCTATCCGATTGGGATATTTTTCATAAAATATTTTTGATAGGTTAATTAGTATTTTATAAAGTAATACACAAATAATTGCATGTAATGTGATATTAACAATATGATAAGTTGTAGTATGAAGACCTGATATTGCATAATTGATCCTGAAAAAGTAATTAATGATTGTCCTTAGTTTGGATTAATTCAAAAATTTATTTATTAAAAGTTGCTGTTAAAGTTTAAATTTAATAATTGACAGTTATGATATTGCATTCTAATTAACTATTCAAATATAAATATTTGAATTTAAAAAGAATTGATACAATTAAATAACGATATCCCTGTTCTTTTTTTTTTTTATTTAATTAATATTTATTCTTTAAAAAATTATTTCAATTTTTCATGGCAAATAATAGAGGAATGACAAGTGTATAAGCTAAACAATAATTCTCGTAGCAAAATAATTTGTGCTTTGAAATTTTAAAATTTTAATAAAATCCAAATGTCATAGAAAAAGAAATGATGGCAAATGCAATAATGTCTTTAATGAAAATTTTTGGATTGACAATAAAATTGCGCAATTCCTCTTAAACAAATAAAAAAGAAATGAAAGCCTTATGGTAAGATTATGGTAAGTGTTACTCGTAATCCTTGCTAATTAAATATTTGAATTAATTTAATGCTCATCCAAATGATCGATTCTTAATCTAAAAATACTAAAGTACTAAAATTAATTTACCGAAACAATGTCTCTCTTTTTTTTTCCTTTTTTTTTAAATATAAAATTTTACATCTTATAACAAAATTAGTATATAGTTTGTGCATTTTAATTAAATTAAAGAATTAAATGTAAATGCTTTGTAAACGAGAGAGAGAGAGAGAGAGAGAGAGAGAGAAGGAACAAAAAGATTTTTAATGAAGAAAAAAAAAATTGATTTATTTACTACAAAAAATATTTAATTTATTTACTACAATAATTAATTTCATACTTATTAATAATTTCTTTTTTTTCCCCATTCAAATATTTTTAAATATTTTCATATAATAATAATTTTTGTGCATTTTAACTAAATTAAAGAATTAAATGTAAATGCTTTGTAAACGAGAGAGAGAGAGAGAGAGAGAAGGAACAAAAAGATTTTTAATGATGAAAAAAAAAATTTAATTTATTTACTACAATAATTAATTTCATACTTATTAATAATTTCTTTTTTTTCCCCATTCAAATATTTTTAAATATTATCATATAATAATAATTTTTGATTGTTTGAAATTTCCAAATTCTTTTCTCTGCATTATCCATCATCCAATAAAGTTCTTCAAGCTTACTTCCTTCTTTCATAACATTAATTTGCATAAATTGCACTTGTATGGCTAGTTATTTCATTTTATGGAACATAAATTTGCCCCAAACAACAAGCAAATTCACTCGATGACCCTTAGGCTAGTACTAGGCACTTATAATTACATCAATCATTTTCACACCACACAAAAGTATTCATGAATAACCTGTCTTGTAATCAAATTATTTTATAAATCCATTTAAAGGCTCATCAACTATTACTTAAATTTAGTCTAAGTAATAGCTGCAGTAAGATTAAGTAATGGATATAAGTAGTAGAGTAAGAAATTTATTAAGTTAATATTTAAAAGTTAAATTTGCAGAGAACTTCTTTCTTCAAGAGAAAACGAATAAAAGAGGAAAAGGAGAGAGAGAGAGAGAGAGAGAGAGAGAGAGAAATTCAATGGTACCATTCTATTCAAATGAGAAAATCATTTATTATAAAGTAGCTAAGTGTCAATGCATATTATCAATGTTTGAGATTTAAAAAAAAAAAAAGCAAAAAGAAAAAAAAAATTAGACTAAAAGCTTAATAATTGATCTGTGCCCTTTTAGGATGATATTGCATTAAAAACAGTACTTTAAGGCTATTTCATCTGTTGTGATGAACATCTGGCTCATCCGATATTCAAGTATTCTAGGACATCTGACCACTTCTCAGGAATGAGTAATATTTATAGCAAATAATTATTACTCTAAGCATAATTTATTAATTATTTATTTACAATGCAAATTTTTCAATTTTGAAGTGTTAACTACTGTACGATCAGTTTCTTTGCTCCTCTATCAATTTATTTAATTCAAATTGATTTTCAACTAAGTAATTAATCTATTAATTAAATTATAAAAATATTTAAATTAAAAATGAAATGTTTTTTTTTTCTTTCGTTTTTATTTTTGTTAAAAAATTGAAGAAAAAAAAACCACAAAAAATACCAAACAATTTTGAGAAAAAAAAAACAATAATTGAATTCAAAAAAAAAAAGTTAACAATAATAGTTAGAAATTTATTTTAGCGTTTGTCCAATCTGATCTTCTTTTTAGTTAAGCAATCACTTTTAAAGAAGAAAGAAAAATTTCCGATTTAAAAAAAAAAGATGAAAAAACATTGTGTTGTTATTCGAAGCGAAAAATTAAATGTATTATTGGAAATTGTTGATGAATCATTTCATCAGTAATAGGAAACGTAATTTAAAAAAAAAAAAAATTTAATTTTTGTACGCAACATAAATTAATTTTAAATAATACAGCTCTGATTAAAATTATGAAAAGAAATTTAAGTGAGATGATAAAATATATATATTTTTTTGAAAATAATAAATAATACTCAAAAAAAAAAAGAAGAGAAGACTTCTTTTGAAAAAAATAAGTATATTTGAAAAAAATATATATGAAATATTTGAGAATAATAAGTAATAATCAAAGAAAAAAATGATTTAAAAAAAGATATATACTTGAAAAGAATAAGTAATAATCATATTTGAAAATAATAAGTAATACTCAAAGAAAAAGAAGAAGAGATTTCTTTAATAAGTCTTTTTTTTTTTTGAAAATAATAAGTATATTTGAAAAAAATATATATGAAATATTTGAGAATAATAAGTAATAATCAAAGAAAAAAATGATTTAAAAAAAGATATATTTGAAAAGAATAAGTAATAATGAAAGGAAGAAAAAGACTTACGCAAAAGTAATAGTAGTAACCGGACGATATGACTTATGACTACGTGTTGATCGTATCGGATAACCCCAAAAATCACTTTCCAAAATTTTTCCAATTTGTCGAATAGCTTTATTATTGATGATAGCTTCTCGATCATCAAATACAAAATTACCATTGATATTACCACTAAAACTTAAAATTGCTGCTACCGTAATAATTGTCAAATGAAAGTATGCAGCTAACTCGTCATACTGTCGTGTTACGGTCAATCGTTGACCGAATTGTTGTAATTTCCGTGAACTGCTTTTCCATTTCATACTAATATCTTTCTGAAAAAGAGAGAGAGAGAGAGAGAGAGTGAGAGAGAAAAATATAATTCAAACGAGTATATATGAATTTAATATTATTATTATATAATTAATTTGTGTAATAATTGAATGACATTTATTTACATTTTATATATTATTTGAAATTATTTTAACTCATATCAGTGTTTATCTGAAATTATTTTAACTCATATCAGTGTTTATCTGAAATTATTTTAACTCATATCAGTGTTTATCTGAAATTATTTTAACTCATATCAGTGTTTATCTGAAATTATTTTAACTCATATCAGTGTTTATCTGAAATTATTTTAACTCATATCAGTGTTTATCTGGAATTATCTCACATATATGTACTCAATGAGCACAGAAAATTTATATGGTCGCTAAAAAATGTTAAAAAAATTAATATAAATCAGCAATTTTCTAAAAATTAATACAAAAATTATTTAAAATCAAAAAAAAAAAAAAGTTGTTAATAATAAATATATTTAAAAGGAAGAAAACTGACAAAGCATTCTAACATTAAATATCAAAAAAAAAAAAAAAAATTTTTTTTTAAATTCAAACATATTGAATTTTTTAAGAATTTTAATTCAGACATTTTGAATATTTTAAAAATTTTAATTCCACTGGGAAAGAGAAGGTTTGAAAGGTTCCTTATTCGCAATTATTGCATAAATTTAGGTTTTAGGATGGATGAATTGAACTATAAGTGGTTGGCCTAAGTAAAGCATAAGCATAAGCATAAGCATATTAGTAGCATCAATATGGCCAACCTCTTTCTATCTTTTTTCAAAAGCAGCCAACAAACAATCAAAATTGATATTGGCCACTTGTAAATGATGGGCACATATTCTCAATATGGCCTCACCATTGTATTCAAATCAAAATTAATTCTCAAGAAATGGTTGCAATTTTAATTTCAAATAAAAATAATTTTTTTAATTAAAAATTGTCAAACATTTTAAATACTTTTAGTTTTGTTTTAAATAAATTTCATAGAAAGCAAACAATCAAGAATTTAATTTGCTAAAAATTTGTGAAAATTCAAAATTGTTTAATAAAAAAAAAAAAATGTTTAATAAATTATTCATTAATTTCTTTAAAATATTTCAACAATTTTTCGAAATAAAAATCAAATATAATTTTGTCAAAAAGTAAAAGAATTATGCCTAAAAGAAAACGAATTCTTCCAACAGTCTAAGAAAAGAACAATAATAAATAAATAAAATATATGCGTGCACAGAGGTAAAAGATAAAATTTCGGAAGCAAAGTGACACAGATGAAACTTTTGAAGGACATTTCCTGATCGTTGACAAAAGTAATAAAATTCATTGATGAAAAGCGCATACTGCTAGTGTTCCTATACAATTGGTCATTTTCTCGAACAAATGCTATTGTGACTAAGGCAATTTACCCAGAGATTTGACGCTGTTGTCAATCAATTTATTTACCTATTCTCATGGGGAAATGAATTGAAATTTTATGAAATATTATTGAATTGGTCATTGTCTCCATTGTTGATTTTAGAAATACTACAAAAATATTAATCTATTTTTTATTGCACTCATAGTTTCATTCTAAAATTTTATGCAAATTAAAAAAGTGGACAATTTGCATCAAAATTTACTCATTTATTCAAAACAAATGAACCAATTAACATTTCATAAAAAAAGAACAAATTAAATGATATAAATTAATGAGTGGAATAATTATTGTAACAATTCTGGGATGAACTAAAATTCCAATTCCAGAATGAATTACAATTCTAGGATGACCTACAATCCTAAATGAATTATAATTTTAAGACGAAGTATAATTCTTGGATGAAGTAAACTAAATTTACTGACCATTAATCGATTGCTTAGGCAGAAGATAAATGGCTAAAAGGAAGAAAATTGAAGTTAATACAACATTTTAATTTAATTTGGCATTTAAGATAAATTTGTGATCGGTTTTTATTAAAAGTAAAATATGGAAGAAAGAAAAAAAAAAAGGAATTTTGGGCTAAAATATTAAATTAAATTTTCTTCTTTTCAGTTACCTATTCATATTTGCTTGACAATAAGATAGCTATTGGATTTCGCCAATAAATTGAATCAATTTTTTGTCGTTTTTCGATATACATTTAGCATTTATTCACAGAGAAGATAGAATGAATGTGAGAAAAAAAAATGAAATAATAAAATTATATTTCCTTTTTATCTTTTAAATCTTAAAACTTTCATTTAACATTGATTTTTTTGTTGCAAATTATTAAAAAGAAAATTCTTTTTTTTTTTTTTGTTTTGAAATAGGAATGAAACTTTAATGCTTTTGCTTGTTATCTTATTTAAATATGATTTAAAATTATTTTTAATTCTATTTTAAATTAAAATTTCGTTTTAGTATCTTGGAATATTCTCAAATATTGTTTTATTTTAATGAAATGCAAGAATTAAATGTTAAATAGAAAAAAAAAGGGATAAAATTTAAGAATGAAAAAAGAGTGAAAGCCTCTATAAATGATATTGAAATTATATAGTGGACAGAGTGGACATATGTGGTCATTGTTAAGTAACAGACAAATGGACATAGACACACTGAGCACATGCATATACATACATGCACATACACACACACATACACATAATTATGACAGGTAAATATCCGTAAATTAAAAATCGGCAAATGTTTGCTTAATCTAAAAATTATAGATTGTGATGAGCATAAGGTAATTAATGAGAAATGAATCGGTGAAGTGCTATATTCATTATTAAAATTTGATAAGCTGTTGCCTTAAAATGCAATTTTAGAAATGATTTTTTTAATGAAAATGAACAAATCTTTATAATAAATTTCACAGATTTTATTTCAAAACAAATAATTTTTAATAATTTAAAGTTCAATAATAACAATTATTCATTTTATATTTTGTTTTACAAAAAAAATTTCAAATATTTCTTATTTAGTTTTTATTCATTTTAATTTGTTAAAAATACTTTACTATATTTTTTATCTCTATTAAATAGCGTAATGATTAAATTAAAAAAAAAAAAAACGTGGAATAAGTTACGTATAAATTAATTAAAACAAATGGAAACAAATTTTGGAACTTTTTGTCTTTAATTATTTTTTTTTTTTAAATTAAATATTTCTTTGATAGCAATTTATACGTGAATTGATTTCAGGAGGAAAATTAGATTATTTAATTCAAAAATGCTTTTTTGAGGATAATAAACGTTGGGTTTTTTAAATAAGTTTAATTATTATGTTTCTTAATATTTAACAAAAAAAAATAAACCAAAATTTTGAATTGGAGTTAAAAAAGTTAAAGTTAAAAAAGAAGTGAAGGAAAAAATTATAAAGTTACAAGTTAAATATCAATGTCACTTCATTTTCTCAGAATTATTTTTTTATCTTTTATTTAATTTCTTACATACAAAAAAGCTAATAGAAATGAAAGGAAGTAACGTAGATCAAATTTATAAAATTTTCATACTTTATTCTATATTTATAAAATTTATGTAATGATGTCATTCTTTCTCAAATGATTTCAATACTTTATATGACTTATATTTGAACTGTTTTACGTGTTCTTACGTGTTCTTGAATGCTTTTAGATGCTTTACGTGTTCTTGAGTGCTTTCAGATGTTTTACATGTTCCTGAATGCTTTCAGATGTTTTACATGTTCTTGAATGCTTTCAGATGCTTTACGTGTTCTTGAATGCTTCAGATGTTTTACGTGTTCTTGAATGCTTTTAGATGCTTTACGTGTTCTTGAATGCTTCAGATGTTTTACGTGTTCTTGAATGCTTTTAGATGCTTTACGTGTTCTTGAATGCTTTTAGATGTTTCATTACATTTTCCGGATGTCTTCTCGTTTTAGATATTAGAGTGTAACGTTGAAAGGTTTAAGTTTGAAGAGTACGTTTAACTGATTAATTAACTTTGACACATTTCATCTAATTCTCGACTATGCTAAATTACTTCATATGACTTATCAACTCCCATAGCTTAGCTATTTGTATGAAATGCTATTCTTCATTATGTATTTCTTCTCTTCACAATTTACTGAAAAGCAAAATTTCGTTTCAAGTTAAAAAAAAAAAGACTAGATGCGACCTTTGAACTTTACAAGTTAATCTAATTTGATGTAACTCACGTTTTACAAATATGCTTGGTAAAGTTTCCATATCCAATTTTTACTAAAATTGGTTTATTTATTTTTGATAGAACTAAAATTAATTAAACATGCATTCGTCATCCGTTTGCTTATTAATTTAATTTAATTTAATTAGTTAAATTGTTGACAATCAATTTACACTTCGAAAATTTTGTATTAAATATGCAAAAGTTATGTGGAAATAATATTTTCATATGAGATTTGTTCTATTAAATAAATTTTTGCCTAAAAAATTGAAACTTTTGTTTTAATTATGAATTAATCAACTGTTGGGAGTATTTTTTTTTTTTTGAAATTTGAAAAAAGATTTAAACATCTGTAAGCACTATTGACTCATTCATGATTATCAACTTATCAGTGATCAATCATTTGTTTGTTTATTCTTCCTTTCTTTTCACAACTTTTTAATAATTTCCCACAGGTTAACTACGTCCTTGTCACACTGTCATATTTCAAATTTGACATTCAAAACAAATATCAGACAACACAATGATAATCGATTGCTTTCCGAATTATTGAAAATGTATGAGTGATTTAATTAGCCAAGAATAAAAATCCACGTGTTTTACGAGTATTCGTTGAGATGTTTCATAAAGTTACGTATTTAACCTCCAAATCTCTCAGCTGATCGATCATTAATCAATCTTTAATTATTGGTTATAATTTATTTAATCAGTTAGATTATCAGTAAATACACATATAATAATTTCTAAAACCTTACTTGTAAATGCTATCCAACATTTCAAATATTACCCAATTTCTATTGTTTAAAATACATTATTCATTTACCCATTATTTCAGGTACAATTACCCGTTAACT